TGGTGGGTAACTGCTGGTACAAGCGGAAAGGGGGCGATTCTTTGCGAAAAAAGAAGTCGAAAATATGGAATAAAAATTAAAAAAAAAAATTTTTTTATTTTTTTAAAAATCTACAGTGAGATCCGTTATAACGAGACGCGGTAAAGTGCACGCGTACCGTGCGAAAATTCAAAGTCGATTTTCTCGAAAACAAAGCCTCGAACGAAAAATTTTTATTCTATATTTTCGACTTCTTTTTTCGCGTAGAATCGCCCCCTTTCCGCTTGTACCACCAGTTACCAACCACCCTGTATATAAGGGCTGGACTCGCTTATTTTCCAAGATATTCGCGAAAAACTGCTGATACGAGTACCGTAAATTCTGCCTTTAGTTATGCGTCTGCATGGTCGCCGGCTACTTATCTTCTGTTTGTAAACAAGAGTCGAGCAAGCTTAAAGGTCTTGTGCACAACATACTTACATGTGCGAGGCTACGAGAGTCTGTTATAACTTTGTAACTTATAACTCAATCAGAATATCATCAATGTATTGGGTTTAGGTTTGGGTTAGATTTTTCAATCCGCTTGTGTGAATTAATAACGAACTAATTATAAAAATAACAGGCATGTGAAATAATTGATACTATTTCATAAAATAGAGTAATCGTTATTCTAACATTTTATCTAATCCAAGCCGAAACCCAAAATGTTGATGATTTTCACTTCTAAGTGAGTTATAAATTAATAATATTATAATTACAATAATTAATTAATTAAAGTATTATAATAAAACATTTCTTGCAGTTACGCACATGTAGTTGTGCACAGGGTCGTTAAGCTCACTCGATTCTTGTTTATAAACAGAACATAAGTGGCCAGCGACCAGCAGCCAATAGTGACATATACGTTGCCACAGATGCACATCTATCAACAGAAATATACTTATCAACAGAATGTTGTTGTGTCCACAATTCTTCTTGTAGTTTTTGTAGTTTCTTTTGATTTCACCATTTGTTATTTCATGTGTATGTATAAAAATATGGTAATATGCAGTAGTCAGTTATTTGCGTGGAAAATGTGTATGTGATTTTTGTGCATATGTGATTTTTCTATGGATATCCATGGATGGAATGATCATGGTGCGCGCTGTGAAATGTGTTTAAACATTGTTTATATGTGCTTTCATTTATTAATTATTTACGGAGGCAAAAATTAGAGGGAAAATTAATCGTCTCTACTCGAAAATTCCATGAGCCGGTTTTCGATATACTGTTATGGATTTTAATGAGTAGACAAGTATAATATTTAATGTACGATTTTTCTTACAAAACGTCGCGCAGGGTGATTTACGTTTTCAAATCTGGTAATCTTCGCTACCTTGTACGAGCTAAGCTGCTGCTCATGTATCGTTCGATTTGAGGATCCCTGTGCACCCCGCTGCTTAGCCTGACCCACTTCCGCTCATGTAAGAAGGTTTGCTCGTGCACAGAGATATTTCGGTTAATTTTTAATTGTCAATAACTAAAAAATAAAGCCGAAAATGCAAATTGCTTATTCTTGATTTTCATTATATTTTAGTTTCAAGAATCACCCTTTTAATTTTTACATCTATAGTCGAACACCCTGTATATGAAAAAAGGTTGTTGAAAATGTTGAGTTTTATAACATATGCGAAAATCATAGACATCAGAATGTGGTTAACATTTATACAGTTTTACTGAAGCTTTAAAATAGATTGTAAAGGGATATAAATTTAACGATCATCACAATAATTAATAATAAAGTAGTTTGAAATTTATAAACTATATAAAACTTGGAAATTCATCTCAATAGCTCTATAGAAATCATACTGGTTTTCACGTATTTTATTAGAATGTGTACAAAGCTGTATGAAAGGTACATTTCAAAGCGTCGGTCACGTCGGAAAAGCTGAGCGTGGATTAGCTTCCATTTTGTTTTAATCAAGCGACAGCCTCCTAGAAATTCATTGACACCACGGTCGATGAACTTTCAACGTGAGCAAAGTGCAAAATTAATTTGATTATAACAAATTTAACTTTCATTATACTGTATGTTCTAAGTTTCTATTAAGAATACATATTGCCATATATAAACAATTTTTAAAATTTTCTATTGGTCGCTGTTGACATAAACGTTGACGATATGCAAAGAAAATTATTTTTTCTGTTTCGATTTATTTACTCGGAGAAAGACGTGTAAAAATTCTTCTACCACTAATTAAATATTCTTTCATAAAATCTTTTATTTTTCCCTTTCTATCACGAAACATAATAATCTAGAATAGTTTACTATTCGCCTGATTTTTATAAAATTAACTAACGTAACGTTATCATAGTACTTTATATTTTTGAATTTGTGCATGTTAATTAATTTTTCCTTAATTCCAAACTTATCTTAATTTATGGCTGGACCGAAGTTTCGATAAGGACTTTGGCAAAACGCTTGAGCGAATGTCGTGAATTGAAAGTCGGTAGCCAACGACTCGAAGTTGCCGAGTTCTGAAGCATCGATGATAGGACTATTTAGAGTCCTTTGAGGATACGTAAGACAGCTCAGTAACGACAAGCAACCTAACGTTCCATCGCCAAAGAATAGAAACTTTGTTTAAAGGATCTGGCCACGAAGTTGCATTTTGGTAAGCGGACGATGAAAGACGGCATGGTGTCTATCCCAGAACCTCGAAAAAGGGAATATCTCGAGTATTCTATCAGTGATTATCCCTCTAACGTGCGCTAAAAAAATAACTTCAAACTAATAACTTTAAACATAAAAATTACTTTATCCATCCGTTCAAAATATTTACACAAATGTTAAAGTACATTTTCCTTCATATATCTCTTATTATCTCTATAATCAAAGCAGTCTTTCAAAGTTTGTAAACTGTATCTTTATCAACAATTTGAGATAATTATGATAATTCCCTAATTGTTAATATAATAACTAACAATTTATAGAATAGACCAAACTAATAAGGTTCATATGAAACGAAATAAAATTTAAGGAATAAAATACGATATAGTTAATAAGAAATAAAAATAACATAATAAGTAGACTGCAATTGTTTATACAAATTTATATTTTTACGAACACAACTAAAGAAGCGAAATCCATGCAGACACTTGTTTCGTCTGGTAAATATTGTAATGAGTGTTATACCTTGAATATCTTATATATTTTTTGATATAATACGCATTCTATGCATTCTTGCCTCTCTGAACGTTCCACAAATGCGTAACGGGAAAATCTACAATTTAAATTATAGAGTTTCGATTAGACTGTCGATTGTGTCGAACGTGATTCTAAACTTAGTATCGGTTCGTTCCAGCCTGTATGATTTAGTGACGCGAACTTGCTTGTGTAGGACAGTTGTACGAATGTCCCAATTTTTTCCGATCAAACGTTGTCAGTATATTCTATAGGTTAAACCAAGGAAACTGTACATAAACATATGTAGTCGGGAGCATTGTTGAAGGAATTATAACGAAAAAGCGATCTATGAAATGTGACTTTATAATACAAAAATGTGTGGTACAAAATATGGATAGACGCCAAAATAATTTACTTGTAATTCCCCATGAGAATTGATCGTAAAAAGTCTACCAAATAAAAAAGAAAAAAATTTGAATAAATCAGGAATATTTACATGTATTGCAATAGTAGTCACAAGGCATTGCAATGCTTCTTCAATTCCAATTAAAACTTCGTTTCAAAAAATTCAGCATTTCTGTCAATAGAGCATTGGAAAAATTGAATTTATTACTCCTTAACGTGCTCGTTTATCACTTGCTAAGTTGAAACCGTAAAAGCATAATACCTATAATAGCTTTTATAATAATATAATAAGCGTAGTATCGAGGGAAACCCCTGAGCAATTAAGAAGGTCCACTTGACCATGGGTCATCCACGTTGTGGAACGTGTGCGTGCCAGGTATACCGGAGCCATGGTATAAGAGGTAGCCGTTAGTGAGTTGATGAGGGTAAGGTCAGTGTCACGTCGGAGACACAATAAATCACGAAGCCGATTGATCGCCGGTGATCTCCTCGCGTCACAGTTCGAACGTTTCACGAATAAGGTGAAGAAATTGAACTTTGTATATGATAATATAATTTATTATGCAAATCCAGCAGAGTGATGGCTCAAAGTGTGACAAGAGATTGCTTCAAAATGTTTCAACAGACTGGGGCGAGCGCTTATTTTGGAGGGTTTTTATACTGAGGTTTTAGTTCCTCTGGAGGGGTTATCGCCTGTATCTCAGAGACGCCTATCTGTTCATGATTAAATACTTGGACGCTATAACCGCAACATTTCCAATAGAAACTGGCATATCCCAAGGCAGTGCTCTTCGGACCTCTGCTGTTCACCATCTACACTGCCGATTTACCAACTTTAACAGAGATAACTACAGCGACATTTGCTGATGATACAGCCTTATTAGCATCCCACTCAGACCCGATAATTGCCTCTTTAACTCTCCAGCGAGGTCTATGGAAAAGTGGTTGCACAAATGACGCTTCAAAATAAATGAAAATAAATCCAGTCATATAACCTTCACGCTGCGAAAACAATCCTGCCCACAGGTGACCATAAATAATATTCCAATTCCAAACAAAAATACATTCTGGACAGAAGAATGACATGGAAACAGCACATCTTAGATAAATCCAAGCAACTGAAATCAAAACTAAAAAAATTCTACTGGCTCATTGGCAAACGCTCCAACTTAAACATGCAGAGTAAAATAATGCTATATAAAGCCATATTAAAACCTATTTGGACCTATGGGATCCAACTATGGTGAACAGCGAGTAATTCCAACATAGAAATTCTCCAACGAATCCAATCAAAAACTCTAAGATCCTTGATATCCAAATAAAAAAAAAATGTATACGATCCTGATATAGAAGACCTGTTTTATTTATAATTGTCTTAATTTTTTTCGTTAATTATATAATTATAAATTCGAAATGATGTATTATCCAAACTATGTGCAAGCATACTGCATTTAATATATAAAGCATATCTGGTTTAAAGCAATAAATAAATAAATAAATAAATGAATTAATAAGTAATTAAATGTAGATATATAACTTTATATATATTAAAGGTACTATGTACCTTCAAAGATGAAATATGCCAGGCAGCGTATATCTGAATAACCAAATCATGGACTTTAACCTGATTTAACTTTATGATCCTAGAGTCAATTGCCAATTTGATAGATATAAATTACGTTTAAAGTTTAATAGTCACTAATCTTCTTTTAAACGAGAGATGTTCAACATTAGATATAGATTGTATTCGTTTTAGATGCTCTTAATGAAACACTATTGAAAGACTAATCTTGTCTTCATTCGTTGCTTTTGTTTAATAGTTTTATGCTTAATATTTCTATATTTTTCTAATCTAATTAATAATTATTCTATATTCTTTAAATCCTTATATTTTTCTTACTTATGGTCAATTAATTGCCAATTTTTTTCAATTCGAACGAATTAAATTCTTGTACTCAAATTAGTTGTAAAAATAGTTCTGCTCTTAAAGTATATAAATCTAAAAACTTTAACACAGCTATAGCTTTGTCAATAATGTCAATTTTAATAAAGAATTTAACAAATTGCATAATTACAATATAATATGCAATACGATGAAATGTGTGATTTAGTATAAAAAATTCATGTAACCATAAGGGAATATACAGTTTCGAATTACTTCAACAATTAATAATATTATCTTGTTTGTATTTCATAAAAAAAAGTTTTGCTAATTACTGTTATTATTAACGCGTGTCGGATTTCGCCTGTTGCGCTGTGTCATAGCCGATACAGATATCTTACATTTATTCAGAACTGTATGAATCAGAATTGTATTAACAAATATGTTACTGCTGCGAGTTTTACATCTAAACGTAGATTCCACTCATTTAGGCAAAGACTTCTTACTTTTAGCGCAGTCAGAAGATAATAACAAATATATTTAGCTTGTTTAGGCCAATTAAGGGTCGAGAGTGTATATTAATGAGGTATCTTCATGCTTGGTACTGCACGCACCTGAGCAAAAACTGTTTTTTGGTTTCGAGTTCGAGATCGTTACGTTCGATCAAACGTACGATTTGATTATATTCGATTTTCAGATCAAACATTATTTTATTTTCTTAAAAACATATTTTTGTTCGTAAAAAGACTGTTGAAGCGGTTACCACTTCTAAGAAAACTCTACATCTGGTCTTTTTAGTTTTCTCAAGCACTGAAGCCATCGACAGCGCGTAAACAAAAGACTGCGACGAAGTCAGACCATAAACAGTAGACAGGCGACGTTGGCATCGGGGTTTTCAGTTATTGGGTAACACAGCTAGCGTGCGGATCTGGACCAGCTCAAATTGTATTCTTACTTATAATTACACTTCTATTCAAAAATATTTTCTGCCTTACAATTTATGCACGTGTTCTCTCTGTTTACACATCGGATAACCTCAACAAAGACAAATTTATTTTGTTGCTTAGTAGCAGTTTTTCTCTCGCTGATATATGTAGGAATGTTATATCATTACACATATCGTGTGTATTCAAAAGACATTATTGAAAAGATTAAGATGGCAAATTGTGAAGAGGAACAATTTTCAAGCGAGGAAAATCTAACGCTGGAAGAATTAAGAAACAAGCTTGCAGAGATGAATCTACCAATATCTGGTGCAAGATCAGTGTTGGTTGCCAGGGTAAATCGAGCGTGTAGTGCTGGACAACCAAATCTCAAAGAGCTAGAAAGATTCACGGTGAAAGGTTCACGGAGAAGCGAGGTTCGGGGACCATACCAAAAACTAAGAGTGATCGATATGAAGACGAAAATCTCGAGAAGCTTAAGACGAAAGAATTAAGAGAACGTCTGGCTAGTGCGGGGTTAGAGACGAGAGGAAGAAAAGCAGAATTACGTAAGCGACTACAGGCGGCCATGGAAGAAGAAGATGCGTCGTCGGAAGACGATGAAGAAGACGAAAGAGATGTATATCAGAGTTGTGACAAATGCTGTAGAAAAACACGTGGGCAGAGTGCAATAAATTATAAATGCAAGCCATAAGCGAAGTATTAAGAAGACACCGTTTGAACTACTAATCGGAGTACAAATAAGACTTAAGGGAGACCAAGAATTAAAGCAACTGATAGACGAAGAACTGGTGAATATTTTTGAAGAAGATCGCACGAAGATGAGATTAAAGGCCAAGGAAAATATTGCAAAAATCCAGGAAGAAGACAAAAGAACATACAATAAACGTGGTGAAACTGCCACGAAATATAAAATTGGTGATTTAGTGGCAATGAAACGTACTCAGTTCGGAACAGGTACAAAGTTACTATCAAATTTTTTGGGTCCATACAAAGCAATATCGGTAAAGGGCAAGGACCGTTACGAAGTCATCAAAGTGGGTGAACAAGAAGGACCGCGGAAAACAAGTTCCGCAGTTGATCATATGAAGCCATGGGTTAAACCATTCGAATATGACGAGGATACTGAAGATGATGACGATTTTGAAGACAACGAAGGATAATCGTCATCCATTGAGGTTGATAGTCGATGCAGAATAGCAAGAAATCAGGAGCACAAGAGAAATTAGTAATGATGGGCACATCTGAGGGCAGATGTGTTTATCAGAATGGCCGAATTGTGGGATAGTGTGACATCAGGGAAGAACGTGGCGTGAGGGGTAATGTTTTAAAAAAAAGTGAGCATGGGAAACATTGTAACGAGAGTTGAGAGAGTCAGAGTTGAATTTATCGTTGTCGTGTGAAGATCGCCGTGTTGTATCGTAGAAGTAGTGAGTAACGAATACGTGAAACGGGGTTTTAGGTTCGATTTCGTGTGAGTGCAAACGATATTGTATTAATCATATTGTTACCTACAATCTAATAATATAACATTCCTACATATATTTATTATCTTGCTGAATTACATGTAACTAGTGTCACATCCCACGCCCCGCACGATCCGTATCGCGAAAGTAAAATTGGTAATTTCTTTCAAATCGAGGTAATTTAAAACGTTTATTTGAAACCGTGTTTACAGTATTTGAAGTGAAAAGCAGTTAGAGCCGCTAAAAGCTATATCTTGCGAGAATTTGTCTAACTATGTTTTTATATTTATCTAATTATGTTTTTATAACGATATTAAGACAATTTAAATTGTAAACAAAGTCGGCAGTTTGAACAAACGTTGGGGATTTTCAAGAATATTTTCAAAAGAAAGACCTCAATGTTTTTTCATCTCCGACAGATATAAATAAATGTAGCGACTCAGAGAAGTCAATAATAATTACCGTTCGTCTACCGAAGAGTTAATTACCATTTGTTAACCGAAGAGGTTACATCCAGTCTGTCAATCAATTGTCAATATAGAAATCGAGTAAGATTCGAATAAATCGTTGCATATTGATAATTTATTTCGAACAACTTTAATCCTTTCCCGTGCCAGTATTCCCGCACATAGCAGGTTAGCCGAAAGTAGAACTTATTGCCAGTTGCTTTAAACGCTATTTAACGCTAGCCGTTTCGTATCATCACGTTCAAGCAAACGCGGCAATTAAATAGAACGTAACAATTAAACTATGTACAGAGTAGTTGGTAACTGGTGGTACAAGCGGAAAGGAGGTGATTCTACGCGAAAAAAAGAAGTCGAAAATATAGAATAAAAAATTCTTTTTTTATTTTCTTTTTTTTTAATTTTTCCATCGAGACAACGATCTACAGTGAGACGTGATAAAGTGCACGCGTACCGAGCGAAAATTCAAAGTCGATTTTCTCGAAAATAAAGCCTTAAACGAAAAATTTTTATTCTATATTTTCGACTTCTTTTTTCGCGTAGAGTCCACCCCCTTTCCGCTTGTACCACTCTGTATATTATAACATGTAACGATATTCTAATGACATGTAACGTTGACCATATATAATTCTCGTATTCATATACATTTAGATTCCTAATATCTTTATAAATCTTATCTGCTTGGATTTTTGACTCCAGAATTCTTAATAGCTTCTTCCTTATTGACTCTACTAGTATGAAATTTTTTAATAGACAATTATGTCCACTTTTATGTGGTATTTTTTTTTATAAATGAAATACCAGTTCTGTCGTTTCCTCTTCCATTGTTAACACATAGCTCATAGAGTACCTTGATATATTGCCTGGGAAATGCATATATCGGTTTTACTTTGTTGTATACATTGCTAGTGACAGCATCCTCTTAGAGAATACATTTTGGATATTTTGCAGCTTGTCAGATATATCGTAACCCGTAAATATGTTGGGCGTACATAAGAGCGAGATTGATACAATTGCGTCGCATAATTTACATTTTCCCCAGTTATAAGATTTTTCTATAATAAATGATCTCCAAATTGTCCAAAGTACAATTTCTTGCTTTTGGTACATAGTATTGTAACTAGCTTTGCCAAAGGTTTCCCACGA